TAGTTGTCCAATTAATTTCTTTCTATTTTTAGTAGAGACGGGGGTCTCGCTCTTGCTCAGGCTGGTTTCGAACTCCTGAGATCAAACGATCCGCCTGCCTCGGCCTCCCAGAGAGCTAGGATTACAGGTGTGAGCCACCGCGCCCGGCCTAAGTGGAACTTTTAGGGGACTTAGTCTAGAACTAATAACTTTTAGGGGAGGTGGGAATTAGCAGAAATCTTGGTTTATGAGGGAAAAGAATATCGTATCAATGTAGAAATGTCCTTGATTTCTACATTCTATGTTTCTTGAACTAAATATAATGTATTACAAAAATCCTCTCATACCGGTGGCAAGACTGAAAAGAAACCCGATTCAACTTCACTAAACAGTTGTCCTTTGGTGTTCACGGGGGACTGGTTCAGGTCCTCTCACTACCTCCCCCGCCCTCCCATACCAAAATCTATATATGCTCAAGTCTCTTACATATAAATGGCATAGTATTTGTGTATAACCTATGCACATCCTCCCATGTACTTTAAATGATCTCTGGATTACTTATAATGCCTAATACAATATAAATGCCATGTAAATAATTGTTTAACTGTATTGTTTAGGGAATGATGACAAGGAAAAAAGTCTGTACATGTTCAGTGCAGTGCAACCATTCTTTTTTTTTTTTTCCTGTATATTTTCAGTCCATGGTTGGTTGAATCACAGATGTAGAACCCATGGATACAGAGCACCAACTGTATTTTTAAACTTTTATTTTGTCCTTCTAAACAGTTGTCCTATCTTTGCTGTGTCTGGAGGGATGGAATAGTCAGGATCAACATGTAAGGTGGAAGTAAGGAGCCCAAAAGGGGACCATGAAGAAGTAGGAGTGAGGCAGGGATGAAGTAGGTGCCAGAGGGAATATGACGAAAGGGAGGCTGAGAAGAGCAGGCGGCTGGGGCCCTCTGGATACTGCGTGCAGGGAGTTAACCCCTTTTTAGGAAGGGTGTTGCTCACGTGTAGAAGGACTTCCAGCTTTGTCCCAGTTGTCTCTCCCTGGGTTGTGGGGGAAGTAAATGTCGCTGGATCCTAAACTCTGATGTGTGGGAAGGAGAGTCGTAGAGTCTAGGAGTAGAACTCCTGGTTTTCTTGGAGGGGCTCTTTCTTCCAAGGAGGAAGCAGCGGTGACCCAGCTGTTGCCAGCTGCAGTGGAAATTCTGAGCTCAAAGTCTCAGGCTGCTAGACCACAGCAAGCTCCACCCTGGGGCCTTGATAGGGATAGCAGCACATGTATCCTCTGGCCTATAGTCAGACTCCTCAGGAATCCCTCCCCTTGCCTAAATTTGGGAAAGAATCCAAGTATGCAGCCCTGAAGGGCTAGGATAGCCACATCCATCCCCATCCCCCTTTTCATGTGTTCTTTTCCCAACCTCCAGGGCATTGCTTGGCTTATTTTGTCTAATCCTTTGAGTTACAGAAGTTCCTCTAAAAAAGTCAGTGAGAGGCCACCAAGGAGCAAAAACAAATGAATCAATCATCTCATATGTTCTTTAGGGAAGAGAGAAGAGATTGGAAAAAAAAATGCTCGTTTGGATTATTGGTCTCAAATTCAGTCCCTGCCAACTGTTTTCAGTTAGCTCTTACACTTCTGACTTTTTTTTTTAGTAATCTATTTTGTCTCTTTAATATTTTCACTATTCTGGAATGGAATGTAGAGGTTTTTTTCTAGCTGAACACCTCTGATATAGTCCTGATCTGTGATACTCTGCTACTCAGGTTCTGGGAGCTCCGTATGACTCTATTGCCAAAGTATGATTCTTCAAAAAGTTGAAAAACAAGACTGTCATGCAAATACAGAATGAACACATGTCAAAGGCTTATTTAACGTATTAATAAGGGAACCAGCAGGATGGTAAAATGGATTCAAAGAGCATTTGAAGAACTAAGTATTTATAGGCACTGAAGAAAGAATGTTGGAATAAGATTGCTAGGTTAGATAGAAAACTGGCTTATGTCCTACAGGGCAATAAAACCAGTAACCTTTGAGATTATCTTTTCTACCAGGCAGAAATAATTTACATTTCTACTGGACAAAAATCTACAAGTTGTATCTTCACAAAGTCTGGGCCCTTGGTCAGTAGTAAATGGTAAGTCAGACAAAGAAACTTCCCTCTAGATGGTGAAATACTCTGTAAATATGCCTTTTAGACAATGTTCCAGAATGACATTGAAAGGCTATACAGTCATGCTTTTGCCTTATTACCAAGTTTCAGATGATTTTCTTTTTTTGCCTTATTACCAAATTTCGGATGATTTTTTTTTTTTTTCCTTTTTCTCAAACAGAGTTTCCCTCTGTTGCCCAGGATGGAGTGCAGTGGCATGATCATACCTCACTGCAACCTTAAACTCCTGGGTTCAAACAATCCTACTGCCTCAGCCTCCCAAATAGCTGGGACTACAGTTGCTCACCTGGCTAATTTTTTTCTATTTTTTGTAGCAATGGGGTCTCACTATGTTGCTCAGGCTTGTCTCAAACTCCTGACCTTAAGCAATCCTCCCTCCTTGGCCTCCCAAAGTGCTAGGATTACAGGTGTGAGCCACCATGCCTGGTCAGATGATTTTATTAATACTACTGTTACACTTGATCTTGTTCCCACTCCCCTCCCTAACATGCTCAGTCTTGACCATGAGAAATAGAAGCCTTAGAATATGGTAAGGCAAGCCAGGTGTTTGAGCTCAGAAGTTCAAGACCAGCCTGGACAACATAGTGAGACCCCATCTCTACAAAAATTTTTTAAAAAGTTAGCCAGGCACACTGGTACATGCCTGTAATCCTAGCTACTTGGGAGGTTGAGGCAGGATGATCAGTTCACTTGAGCCCAAGAGTTCAAGGCTGCAGTGAGCTGTGATTGCACCACTGCACTCCAGCCTAGGTGACAGAGTGAGACCATGCAGGCCCTGTCTCTAAAACACACAAACAAACAAACAAAAAACCAAAAGAATATGGTAAGGCAAAGAGCCATTTGCAGTAGATTAAAGTTGGGGTTCCTTGAATATAATGACAATAATAGCAATTAAGATTTACAAGTGCTTACCATGTGGTAGTCATTAGTGCTTTATATTTATTAACTCATTTCATATTCCCGATAATCCTGTCTCCATTTTCAGATGATGAGGCTGAGACACAGAAAGGTGAAATGACTTGTCCAAGATGCTAGAAAGTGGCAGAACCAGAATTTGAACCAAAGTAGTTTGGCTCAGCTTGACCTTCAATCAAGGGGTTAGTCCCAGCTACTCAGAAGGCTGAGGCGGGAGGATTACTTGAGCCCAGAAGTCTGAGGCTGCAGTGAGCTATGATCATGCCACTGTACTCCAGCCTGGGTGACAGAGGGAGACACTGTCCCTTAAAAAAAAAATCAAGGGCCGGGCGCGGTGGCTCACACCTGTAATCCTAGCACTCTGGGAGGCCGAGGCGGGTGGATCGTTTGAGCTCAGGAGTTTGAGACCACCCTGAGCAAGAGCGAGACCCCGTCTCTACCAAAAATAGAAAGAAATTAATGGGACAGTTAAAAAATATATAGAAAAAATTAGCTGGGCATGGTGGCGCATGCCTGTAGTCCCAGCTACTCAGGAGGCTGAGGCAGGAGGGTTGCTTGAGCCCAGGAGTTTGAGGTTGCTGTGAGCTAGGCTGATGCCACAGCACTGTAGCCCGGACAACAGAGTGAGGCTCTGTCTCAAAAAAAAAAAAATCAAGGAGTCAGTAAAGGGGTGGGAATGGGGTGTCAGAGAAGAGAAACTTTTATAGTTTTTTCATAGGAGAAATGGTGTTTGTCCAAAAGAAGATAAGTAAAATCAAGGATTATTTTTAGTCCTCAAGGAATTCCAGCAAGAGCTCTGCCTTTACACACTCTGCTATGTGGACATTGCCAGGCTTTTTTCCCAAAAAAGACAGTTGTCTCTTTCCAACTAGTATCTCAGCCTTAGTTGAGAAATAGAAATGTGTTGGTTTTATAAGGTCTACAGTTACCTTATTTCTTGTAGGCATCTTTAGGGGATAGGTTTATATTAAGGGTGGTATTTTTAATATATTTCTTTTTTGTTTTTATTGAGGTGTGAGTAGGAAACGTTGTCCTAGTGGAAGCACGGAAAGGGCATGGATTCATCCAGATGTCTCAATCTTGGCCCTGTTCTTAGTCTCTGGCCCCAGATTATCACTTTGTATTTTCCTCTCCCTTAGATATGGCAAGATTGTTTCCACTAAGGCCATACTGGACAAGACCACAAACAAATGCAAAGGTGAGAGAACAGCTGTCCTTGGTGATAGAGAGCAACAGTGAGTGAGGCCATCCTGTACTGCTGAGAGTCCCGAGTGCCAAGGAGGAGTCTCTGAGGTTTTCTGGCTTAAAAAATAATTGGATTCCTCAGTGACTAGATAGCTAGAACTGAAAATGCTATTTGGAGGATGGGGGACTCAAGGCTAGAAGACTGCACAGAGCACCTTAGAGTCTGCACAGAGTCACCTTAGGGTTTCCCTGGATGGGGTGGTGAAGGTGGGTAGGTGAAACTGTTTCTACTTAGCAAAGCAGTGTAAATGCCTTTTGGGAGGGGTGACTTGGTAGGTGTTATTTTCTGAGGATGGATAGTTTAACTGGGATTTTGATCAGTTCTGGATGAAGCTGGAAGAGTAGAAGGTGGAGACAAGGTTGGGGTGGGGAGGAGCTCCTTCCACAGGGAGCTGATTATCTGCTCTGGAGAGACTGCATTCTCTACATGCAGAGCATTTATGGGGCATGTCTAGAAAAGAGGGGAGGGGTTCTTTTAGAGGTATGAAAGGGGCTGTGGGTTATTAGAAGAGCCTCGTTCCTGAAACCTCAGATTTCTGAAGGGGGAGGGAGAAAGACAGGGATACCACAGGACCTCATAGCCTTGGCATTCTTAGCCACAAAGTAGAATAAATCTCAGGGTTTGAGGAGCACATGGATAACCACCTGAAACCTCTTAATTTCTCTTTCTCCCTACCACTTTTGTTACATGGATCATAACTCTTCCTCTGTCTCCTGAAAAGCCTGGGCCTACCTCCCTTGCACCTCCCACCTCCCAGTGATGCTGTTTCCCTGTTCCAGGCTATGGCTTTGTGGATTTTGACAGTCCTTCAGCAGCACAGAAAGCTGTGACAGCACTGAAAGCCAGTGGTATACAGGCACAAATGGCAAAGGTAGGAGTAATACCCCATGTCTGGTCCTCTGAGGGGTTTGTGCTTAGCACCAAAGTTCTGGTTCCAACATTTCCAGAGGGCTTAAGAATCGTGAGATTGGCCAGGCATAGTGGCTCACGCCTATAATCCTAGCACTCAGGGAGGCCGAGGCGGGAGGATAGCTTGAGGTCAGGAGTTCAACACCAGCCTGAGCAAGAGCAAGACCCCGTCTGTACTAAACATAGAAAGAAATTAGCTGGATAACTAAAAATATATAGAAAAAATTAGCCGGGAATGGTGGTGCATGCCTGTAGTCCCAGCTACTTGGGAGGCTGAGGCAGAAGGATTGATTAAGCCCAGGAGTTTGAGGTTGCTGTGAGCTAGGCTGACACCACGGCACTCCAGCCTGGGCAACAGAGCAAAACTCTGTCTCCAAAAAAAAAAAGAATCATGAAATTGAATGGTCGAGGGCTAACTGCAGTGCTTTCTGATGACATCTGGCTAAAGACAGTCTGGGCCAGTGTCCATTGAGCACTGCTGGCTGCTGGTGGAAGACTGTATTCAAAGTCTGTGGCAGGTGGCTCTGTCAACTCTGTTCTTCTCATAGAGTTATTGGAAGTAGCCAAGAGGATCAGGAGGCCTCTTCCAGTATTCCTGCTGCTTCCCTGGCCCCACTTCCCTACTGGACAGATTGTGGTAGTTTTGCAACATTCTCTGAAGAATCTAATTGTGCAACTCCGAAGTTCAGAAAAATGCTCTCCACCTCCCAATGTTGTCCCCTGTAGAGGCAGGGAAACCACAGCAAGGAAGGAAACTGTCCCTTCCCAAATCTGTCAGAAGTTTTGGTTTTTACCTAGCCTGCTGGAAAGCTTTTTTCTCTCACTTCTTCTGTTAGGTGGGATTTTCCCCTTGCCCTTCTGAAGCCATTATGGATATTATGTGCAGAGCTGATGATGCAGGCCTGCCAGCTACCCTTTTCTGTAATAGTTAAAGAAAAAGGGAACCCTGAAGGAAAATGCAGAAGAGGGATTTAGGTTGTTGGTTACCCACTGTTTAGGGCAGAGTGACTGCTTAAATTCTTAAAAATACAACTGTTAGAAGATACTGCCATTTTGCACATTCTGCCCTCTGGAATGGCTCTTATACCTCTTCTTTCTGGAATAAAATTCTTTGACAAAAGCTTAAAGGTTTAGGAGCCTTCAGGGTTCCTAGGAGACTAGAGTTCACTGGGTCCATGGTGACCCAGTGAACTACACATTTGGCCCTTTCTCTGTTTCCTTCTCTCCTCTTCCTGCTTTTCCTCCATCAGGGAGTGAACAGACATTCCTACTCAGAGGACTCTTCGTGGCAGGAAGAGAAGAGCGGGGGGGATTACTCAAAACAATCCAGCCAAGGAGCAAGGCAGTCCAAGAGAATGCAGCCTCTGGGACAGGCTGTTGGGGGAGAGGGGGAGTACTCTCTGCCTGGTTCTTAAAGAGACAGCCAGACACCACTGATGACTTGTATTATGGGCTTGTACGGTACTAGAAATATTAAATATGCTTTTCTTCTCCCTGGACTCAATACACAACCTGTGGTAGTAGGACTGGGTATTACAAATAGTTAAGATTCTCTTTGTTTATGTGGGACCTTTCCTATAATCTCTTTTCTCAGCTGTCATTTTGTGGATGAGGACTGAGGGTGGGAGAGGGATAAGAGATGTGAGCCTCATTTTCTCACTTTTATTTCCATAGCAACAGGAGCAGGACCCCACAAATTTATACATCTCAAACCTCCCACTGTCGATGGATGAGCAAGAACTGGAGGGGATGCTGAAGCCCTTTGGCCAGGTTATCTCCACCCGAATCCTTCGAGATACCAGTGGGACTAGCAGAGGGGTTGGCTTTGCAAGGTGAGGGATGGCAAGAGTGGGAAATGATGAGGTTTATAAAAAATATTACTGGCTGAGCATGGTGGCTCACATCTGTAATCCTAGCACTTGGGAGGCAGAGAAAGGAGGAGGATCTCTTGAAGCCAGGAGCTCGAGACCAGCCTGAGCAACATAGTGAGACCCCATCTCTACAAAAAATTTTAAAAATTAGCTGGGTGTGGTGGTGCATGCCTGTAGTCCTGGCTACTTGGGAGGCTGATGCAGGAGGATCACTTGGGCCCAGGCGTTTGAGCTTGCAGTGACCTATGAGGATACCATTGTACTCTAACCCAGGCAACAGAGTGAGACCCTGTCTCAAAAAAAAGGTCACTTAGGAGGTCACCAAAAAACAATCTGTGCCTCTCTTCCACAAAAGTAACCAAAGTATTGGTCAAAAATACTTGACAGTAAATCAAAAGTTTATCTTATCATAGATTGCAATACTCAAAAAATCATTAGCCACTAGATTTTTATCCTTTCCCCACTACTTGCTGCTGCTCTAGCCTTTGTTCCTTTGATCCAGACCCAACCAGAATAAAATAGGTCTGTATATTCTTTTTTTGTTTGTTTTAGATCCAGGGAGACCAACTGGAATAATTCTGTGCATTCTTTTTTTGTTTTCATGTCAGACAGGTAACATGCTGACAATGTAAAAAGGTTTGAGGGAGGCACATCTCATGCATGTGTGTGAAAACCCACTCATCATGCTTATGAACTACAAAAGGATCAGTATTCTGTACATTCTTATAGCTTACTGAGTATTTCTCATACTATTGTCTCATTTAATCTTTACAACAACCTCATGAGATAAATATTCTCCATTTTGAAGATGAAGAAAGTGAATTCCTCACTATGTAGTGATTTGCCCAAGGTCTCACAGGAGTGGGTAGTAGAACAGAACCCCCCTAATCCTGCTGGCTTCAAGATCAGTAGGATGAAGTAGAAGATTTGGTCTACCTTTTCAGATCTGTTGGGAGACCTATATTCTAGAACAACTGCCACTAACTGCCCCTGTGATATCAGACCTTTATGAGCATTGGTTCACTCTCAGGGTGTTTCCTGGAGCTGCAGTTTTCCAGGGTGCCCTCCTCTGGACTCAGATGTCATTGTTGTAGTGCTTTCAGCCTCCCCTAGCCCACTTAAGAAATGGCTCTGCTTTTATTTATTTTAAGATTTTATTTGGGGCACAGTGGCACATGCCTGTAGCCCTAGCTACTTGGGAGGCTGATGCTGGAGGATCTCCTGAGGCCAAGAGTTCAAGGCCAAGCTGGGCAATGTAGTGAGACACTCACCTCTTAAAAAAAAAGAAAAAGATTTTATGTGAAAGAGGATTATGTTACATTTTTTTGTTGTTGTTTTAGGTTTAAAAACTACTAGACTAAGTGATCTGGGGATCCCTTTTTGTTTTATTAATATATCTTGTCTGGTCCACAAACACTCCCTTGCCCTGAGTGTTTCAGACCTTAGGAACAAGGAATAAGTCAGGGGTGGCCAACCTGTTCATGTTGGAAGGCCACATTAATTTAGCTGTAATCAAATAAGGCCGCATTCAAGAAACTTCAATTAGAGATACTTAAAAAT